ATAGTAGATGAGTAAAGCAAATGTTAAACTCCTGGTATAAAGTCATATAGCTAAATATACATATATATGGCAGAGATGGGATTTGAAGCCAGATAGACGTTCTAGAACCCACATCCTTAACTACTTATTTTGATACAGTCCATAAAGGAGATACTTGTAGGAAACTAAATATGCTGGTGCACAGTAAGCTGACAGGAAATAATTACAATCGTGAATGTAAATATGCCATTCCAAGGATATTTTGAAAGGTAACTTGCAGAGTACTATCTAGTAATAAATGGCTATGAGACCTTAATGAAGTACACTGCAGTGAAACCTTAAGAAATGGGCAACTCTTTTTGAGCAAGGGTTTTGGAAAATTAATGAAATGACTCTGTAAATCACTATGCAACCATTGTCACGTCATCTGAATACATGAACTCAGAGATCAGCAAGTGAGACACAGGGGATCCTAGAAGAGGTTTGAGAATGACTGGGGAGACAAAATTGACAAGGCACAGTGACTAATGGTGGATACACTGAGATAAAATGTATTGTCAGAGATAGTACTAAGGTTTCTGGCTTGAGCACCTGGGTGATGATGAAAGCACTCGGAGTCTTGGAACACAGGCGGAGCTGCAGATGAGGCAGGGAAGGTACTTGCATTTTTGGGAGTTGCAAGGTACTTGCAAGTTGACAACTTTGAGATGTCTGGGAGTCTTCCGCATGGAGATGTCCAGTTAAATATGTGTTTAAGTTTCAAGATATAAATATGGACTAAGTACATCAATCATGGAGGTATCAACATACAAATAGGAATAAAATGCTAATGAATAAGCAGGATGCACTGAAATAGTGTCCTCAGTGAGAAAAAAAGAAGTCATAAGACAAAAACAATGAAAGAAAATGGCCAGGAACGTGAGAGAAATATTAGTTGAGAAAATAATAAAAGCAAGATTTATTTTGTCATTTTTTCTGAAATGTATTAGTACTTTATAGAAGTTTGGTGTTGTTGCTAACAATTTTTATATGCAACACAAAGTACGGTTCATATGTCTGATCAACCATGAAGCCAAATCTAGATATCAGTTTAGTGGCCACCGCATAAACCTTTCTGGCCAGGTTCTTATAAATCTCATGAAAGTATAGAAAGCATGGCTACATCCTATTTTTTCAGCTTTCTCTTTGAAGATGGTGTTAATAGTGGCATTATTGAAAGCCTATGGTATGTCTTCAGTTCTTCTTTCTTTAAGAAAAGTGTACCTTTGTCTGGAAGAGACTAAACAGAAAAGGAAGCCATTGTTTAGAATATAGGGAGTACTTATCCTTTTTTCCCTTCAAATTATATTGAAAGTTTCTTAGTCTTTGTGATCTTAGAAAGGATCTATGAAAACCGTAGTCTGCTGCCACCACTGCCATCACCTATTACTTCAGGATGTCAGCAAAGATGACAATTCTTTTATAATTTTTTTGCCTCTTCACAACTCTTAAAGAGAAGTAGTAGCTTCTTTGAATCTAAGTGTTTTGATTTTGTGCTCTATCTTCACAGGACTTTATTAATTCATATATAAATACACTTACTTATTTATTTAATAAATATTTACCAAGAGTATGATGTTCCAGACATACACTAGAGCAGAGGACATGGAGACGGATGAAACAGGAGTAGCTGCTGTGCTCACAGAGAATGGTAGCATCCGTGACCAGGAGAGGACAGCCGTGTCATGATGTGTTTATATCTCATCAGCACGCATTTATATCGGTACCCTGGAAGATAAATGTGTTGCACAAAGTTCACAATGTTTTCATTTTTCATCCAGATGTATGAGGAGCAGCCTGCAGTAGCAGACGTTCTCCTAAACATTGTAAAAGCTCAGCCTTGGTGATGGTCCTCATGTCTTTTGCTCCCGATATGCCTTCAGCCTTGGCCTTTCCCCTCCAGTCGGGGAGATTTAGCTGGGTTATATTGCATAAACTGAAATGTCTTTTGCATTTTAATGTGCTATGCTCTAATCCTCTCCCCTGGTGAGGGAGTGATAGGAAAATAGGGCAACCCAGCCAAGGATTAGAGAGGATTGGTTTCCTTGGTTCCAAAACCGAGGTGAAGAATTACTACGAGGGAAACAGAGGACAACAAAAACAGAGGCAGCGAGCCGACTGTGGACAACTAGCGAATCTCAGAGTTTAAAAACCTGGTGAGATCAGACTGAAAAGAGAACAAGGATGAGTTCAGGATGGCTACAGAGCTATCTGTGTGAAAACAAGAGAATACTTAGAGCACGTGTTTGGGACAGCTGATGCATGGTGAATGCAACAGAGTGGCTTAAAGTACTAGGGACTCAGTGGGGAAAATGAACTTAGCTATGAATTTATGCTTCCTTTCCTAAGTGTTTTTTAAAGATTTGTATTTATTTATTTTTAGAGAGGAAGAGAGAGAAACATCAACACGTGATTGCCCCTTGTGTGCCCCCCACTGGGGACCTGGCCCACAACCCAGGCATATGTCCTGACTGGGAGTTGAACCAGTGACCCTTTGATTCACAGGCCAGTGCTCGATCCACTGAGCCACACCAGCCAGGGTGTTTTTCCTAAGTGCTTTTATATTAGTATTATATCACTGATAGTGTTGGCAAGACCATTCATTCACTGGTTCTGCAGCTATTGAGTTATGAAATGCATAAACACAGCTCATTCTGGTAGCTGGAAAGAGGAACATTGTTCTACGGTGGAGTTGAGAAGGGCCCTGAAGTATTGTATGATTGTGTAGTGAACCCCAGGAATAAACATATTCAGTAGATATAAATGGTGCTCTCTGTAGTCAGCTCATGAAGAGGTTCTGATGTTGTTGATGTTTTTTGTTACACAGCTTATTGTAGTTGCTCCCAATTTTTTGAAGTCTGCCATTTAGCCCTTTAAGAGAAAAGGAAGCAGTTTCTCTCTTGTCATTATACTTTGGTTCCTGGCAGACATTAACATCTAATGTGCTTCTTCCTATCCTTCAATATTTTAAGAACAACTGTTCATATGTCTACAACTGTTCATATGTTTAAACAACAAAGACGGTAACACATAAACTCAAACACACTGTATTTAATGATTCATTAAGAATTAGATAATAGTTGATTGTTCAAACATGTATAATGCATGCTTTTTATTTAAATGCATTTAGGGGGACACAATTTTTAAAATTATTTCAGTACACAAAAGTAGGAAAATTCAAGTAACATTTTAATATTAAATGTAAGTTAAGCCATAACAACTTTGATTTTATAAAGTTTCACAGTAGTATACATTTTACATTTTAACTTGTGATTGGCTTCATTTTGAACTACTCAGCTAGGTTAGTTAATTGGAATACTGATACAGTATATTTCCACTTAATAGTGCCCTTACTTTATAATTCAAGTTATGTTTAAAAATTCTAGAATGTGAATAGGGATTCTGTCCTCCCTACATTTTAGTAGTTTATATAGACACATTTAGGACAAGATTATCTTCATTAATTATAAGGATGAAAATAAGAGAAATAGAAGAGATCAAGAGAAAAATCAATCTTTTCTTTGTATATTGGAGTCAGATAAGGACACTGAGTTTATCTAAGAAAATGATTATAAAATCAGATTTTAAGAATATGGACATTGAAGACAACTGCTGCTTTTTAAAGTTAATTTCTTATACCCGAAATAGCTTAATCAACCAACCACCACTTGAGAAGTGTAACTCTCCCCTATCCACAAGTTGTGATTAGCCAGAAAAAAAAAGTGAGAAAGGATTTCATCATGTACATTTTTAACACTCCTGGTTGTAACTAGCAAAGTCATAATTATGTGGAAGGCAGACAGAGCAGCAATTTATTCAGATACAGGTAACAGAGCCCACAGGCATTTTTCTTTAAACTTAAGTCAACAAAAAAATTAAATTGAGATTTGAATTACTATAACTGAAATTTTTGTTTATATGAATTTAAGCTTTATTGCTACTTTATAAGTTATGCTCTATTATAATAGTTTTGGTGACAGTGTAAGATAAAAACAAAAATAAGATTGACTTGGAAAATAGAACATTTCATGGTATCATTGTTTCATTTTTTAATTCTCTCTGGTACACTCTGAAATGGGAGTTTTAAAGATTTGTGCAGGGCAGGGAGATGCGTCCCGCCTTCTGAAACCTGGACCTTCCCACCTCCTGGACCTTCACACAGGTCCATTCTTCCTTTGCCATGATTCTCTGCTTTCAAGTAAATACAAATTCCATTATTGCAAAAGGACACTTTTCCCCCATATCAAACTCATTTGGGGATATTTTTTCACTTGCGATTATGTCTTTACATTTGTAACCTACTGCCATTTTTAGTCAAACAGTATGTTTCCCCTGAAATATCAAAAATAAAGATAATTTTGTGTATTTTATGATAACTTTTAGTTTGAGAGCTGAAAAGATTTTTTAGGTTTATTGTGTGGGTAATATATAGTACATAAAGTGTACCTCTCTTGGAACAGTTAATAATTTTGGAAACTGAAACATCACAATAGTTTATTCTATCTCTATCCTCTTACCAATTCATCTAGCTTGAAATCTTGAGAATTAGTATGAGATTTCCCCAAAAGAAAAGCAACATTTAGTTAGGTTAAGTGTCAAGTTGCTAGCACACAGTGTGTAAAAGTCAATATGTACCAGGTGATATTCGTGACTCTCATCTGCACTGCTAGAAGGTTGTTGAACTCAATTACAGAGATGTGCAGAGCTCTATTTGATGTGTGACAAGGTGAGGAGACCACAATCAATTAAAAAGAACACATGTATATCCTATTTGGGGGCAACAGTTTTATAGTATCTCTTGTTCAGCTTCTGCTTTTTTCTCTGACTTTTCCTCGAACATAGGAGAACAAAGGTTCTAATAATTCCCCAGTTTCATTTGGAATTGTTTTGTCAGCAATATCTATTGGGAAGACATAAAATTGTTGTTTTACTTGTATGAAGCTTCAGGCAATTACATGCTGTATTTTTTGTTGTTGTTGTAGCAAAACCTTTTGAAAACGGACAGTATTTGGACATTTATGGAATTACCAGGGACCAAGCTGGAGAATACGAGTGCAGTGCAGAAAATGATGTGTCGTTCCCAGATGTGAAGAAAGTAAAAGTTGTCGTAAACTGTAAGTCCCGTCACCTTTTATCAGAATAATCTCAGAGAAAAAATAAACCACCTAAAAATGCTGTCTGAAATTTATGTTGCTGTTTTTAAGAGGTTGCCTATTGATAAAGATCACCTATTTACTATGAAAATGTATTTACTGTATTTTTCGGACCATAAGACACACCTAGGCTTTAGAGGAGGAAAATAGGAAGAAAAAATTTTGAAGCAAAAAAATGTGGTAAAATATTTACTAACATAAATAACATAATGTTTTGCCAATGTAAATGTAAACAGAACTCAGCAGCAGCATTAGCAACCATTATTCCTCCCAAATTTGGGGGGGTGCGTCTTACAGTCTGAAAAAATACCGTATGTTAAAATGTTGGTCAGGTTCTTTTACGTAACATCAATTATTTCAAATATCCCATCATAATTCAGTTTCATGTGCAGATGGAAGTGTCTCCGATATCATCCTAGTCTCACGCACTCTGAACTGTGATGTCCTCATTTCCAAAGCATCACAGACACTGGGTGTTTCCTTCATTCTCATAGGTTGCACTTGTAGTGTGTTTTGTCTCAGTATAAGTGTGAAACTCTAATCAAACCTGGTAGAAATGAGCTGCATTGGTTTGCACTTTAAAGAAACAACACACAGTACTATTCTTATTACTTAGGTTATTTAAATATATTTAGTTTGAAAAATACCGATCAAAATAAATTTTCTCATTAAACGCAATTAGTAGGAAGTCAGAACAGTAAGAGATCTGCAGAACTATGAATATCATCATGTTGCACCCTTTCCCTCAATGCATCCAAAACACTGATGCAAGACATTTTTTCATTAACTTCCTGTTTTGTATCTTATGATTTCAATAGCCACGACTGCAATGGTCTTTACTTTTCAAAAATGTCCCCAATAGTCTTTCTCTCAAAGTTTTTACATTCTTTAACTTATTCAAATAAAGTACTTTTGGGGTAATAGTATTTTACCAAGTGTTTATAAGCTATAGCTTTTGATTTTTTATTCCATTTATAATAATACATACATAGTATCACTCTATAGATCAGAAGAAATTGTCCCAACTATATTCCAAAATTCTAAAACAAATCAGTTTTTGTATATTAATATGAATCTTTCAGTTTCATGGGCCAAAGATAACTATCTAAATATCCTTTGAAGTTGAGTCTTCCAGGGCAAACCTCTGCCATCAACTGAGATTTGCCTGTGACTAACCTACACATTTGGGGTTGAACTATCTCTTTCAGACTGAGCAAATGCACCTAATTCAAGATCAAGAGGCAGGATACTCATAAAGTCTGCAGACAAACTTCAGGTTCACCCAAGAAGCTCATTAAAAATTAAAAAATTATGTGTAGCACATGAACCCTACTGAATCAAAATCCTTGGAGTATATGGACTGGTAATCTGCATTTATAATAAGTAGCTGTTGAGTCTCAGGACTCCTATTGCACAGGGCTATTACTCATCCTCCTGAACTGTCTGAAATTAGAGGTAACAAAAGAAAGTAGAGAATATGGTTATTTTATCACTAACCATGTATGAGTTCACTGATTTTATTGTCAAAGTTGTGAGAAGGAAGATAAGACATAGAACTACTAAGGAAGTGATGTTTTAGCAGTGAGCACAAAGAAGTGGAAAGGTAAAGCCTAGCTGTCAAATTAGAAAGGCGCCCAGACCAGCAATGCAGCCCACGCTGAATCCCAGACCCAGGACTGACGTCTCCAGTGGGAGGAAATGGAAAATCCAACTGCTGTAAGGATTCCCATGGGCCCCTACTCCCCGTACAATCCAGACTTCCTTTTGTATCCACACTTTCTTCCTTACCCTTTCTTATTCCTCTGACTTTAGTTGATTGTCACATTACTTAACCTGATTTTACTTTTTCCTGGACTAGTGGAGACTTCACACTAAGGAGGCAGACATTTGGAGAGAAACTGAATTGAAAGATTTAAATGACCAACCAATGAGTCACCATTTGGGGACGAGGGTGGAGAAGAGAATCCTTAGACATATCCAACAGGACAGAAACTAGAGAAAAATCATACCAAGAACTTTGAAAGATCTGCCTGTTTCACATGTGCTGGTGGGAGACAGAGGCAAAGGGCCAGGCAGGACTCACGGCAACAGAAGTAGCCAGCGCCCAGTCATGTTCCGGCAGCAGGGCCCCAAGCTCCAGTCCCTACAGGGTGAGACCTACATGCTCAGTGGGTTTGTGTCATAGCTGAGGCTCCCTGAGCTTAGAAAATTCGATTTTTTAAAAAATAATGGCAGCAAGCAGACCTGCCCTTTACCACGGAGGGAGAAATTATCTTTGTTATACTGGGCTGTAAACAAACCTGCCCTTTACTCCGCAGGGAGCACTACTTCTGTCTTCCAAGACTGCTCGCCATACACACATCCTTAAAAAGATAGTCGGGAACACAAGCTGTCTGTGTCTCTGCTCACAGACGTGCAGAAACACAGGAGACCCAGGGAGAATTGTTCTCCAGCACAGGATGGGAGCAGGGAAGTTTGAAAAGGCCTGCAAATGTTTCATCTGCAGAAAAGTGTGCTTCAGTGGCTTTTGTAGGGTAGGGCAGAAGACTTCGTTAATCAACTTTAACTTAAAAAGGGAAACAAAAAGGAAATCAAGGGAAAGTTTTTTTTTTAAGGTTAAGGAGGTTGCTATTTTTTAATCAGAGAACAGAAGACCTTTTTTTAACAACTAATTTCAATTAAAGTACAGTCCTAAGTACAAGCTGTGACACACATATAATATTAACACAGCTCTCACTAAAATATGGGCATGATAGAAGTTTTAATGATTCTGAACAGTTCTGTCTTCTCCTACTTCCCCAATTATACTAAGACAACCTACCTGTTCCTAAATGTGCCATGAAGAATTGTATTTCATACTAATTACTCCATTGCATTCAAATCTCTTGAATTAGTATTTCATGTAAGAGATGAGTTCTGTTTAGACTTCTGGTCAAGACCTAAGTGTCGCCTCTGTTTAAAATACTGATGTCACACATATACCAATGGCATCTAAGTCATGTCAGTGTGTGCGTGCATGCGGATACTGTTCTTAGTTAGGAGGAGGTTTGAGGAGCATTAATTTTGTCAATTTATAAGTCAAAATATGAGCATTACCATGGATTTTACTTAGCTGACTTCCCAAAGGAAATTAGCCAAACCCTTCTGAACAAACTTTATTTTCTCAAAGCTCAAAATTGAGCACAGTGGTCTATGTCACCAACAGAGAACCGCACATCCCCTGGCAATCTGGAGGTTCTCTGATGACAGAATCGAGCCAGTTCAAGGAGGCCCTCCACTTCATTGTTATTAATCATTATTAATTGTGCTTATAGAACTGCAGCAGCTTTGGAACTTATAACTTAAAGTGAAACTCTATCCTTTTTCCCAAGTGGTGTTCAAGAAAAAAATGTAATAAATGTTATAAGCTCTAATAGATTTAGTCATGTGGTAAGTTGATTTGAAAAAGAGATTTAGGTCTCCTGCAAGCTAGAAATGTTTAATGTTTGCTATTTACATAATACATGTCACATTTACTATGTATATGTATATGTATAAAACATGCACATGCAATTAAAATAACATCATATTTGCCACATACTTTATATGCATAGCACTATTATGTGAATTTCTATTCAATTTAATCAAACAGCTGTGTAGTGAAATGATTGGTATTACTAACTTATTTTATATAGATTGGACTAGTTGGTTGATTTAATAAATCAGTTAGTTTATTTTGAGTTGTTTACAGATTTTATAGGTGACTATTCTCTTTGTCTTTATCTGTATTTTTTATTAATTTATATACAAAATTATAAATACATAAACGTCTTTATATATGTATATACACACACACTTAAACTAAATGTGTAAATACATGTATATATATATATTTCATGCCAGATTGAAGAAAACTAAAAGAATAAAAAGGAATTATGACATTATTATAATCAGACCTTCAGAGACTCATGCATATACACATAACAGGAGAGGGGAAGTAACTGGACCAGGTGATTAGCTAAGCCAGAGAGAGCTAGTGGATTAGAGTTGGACAGACTCTCTGTATTATTTGCATTTGTATTTCATCCCTAGAAGCAGTCTAGAGAATACTAGTTTCATATTTTTTACTGTTAATTTTTTAAAAACCAGAAGAACGAATGATTTCCAGAAAACCTGTAGGTTCAGTTGAAATGGGAAAAATAGGAACCATGAAAGACTGATTAAGGAAGGAGAGACCAGAGTCTACAAAATCAGCAAAGTCAGCTTATTTGAAGCTAAATCTAGAATCTGGAAATTTTGGAAAGCATAGTGAACTAATCGAGCAGTGTAGATCTCTATAGGGAAGCAGAATCCCATCCAGTAGACATCAGGCAAGCCCTGAAAGACCTGGCCCACTAGGAGAAGGGGCAGGGTGCTGTGATCTTGGGACAGAGGCTGCTTTCCACCTTACTTATGTGTATTCTTCCGGTTACGAGGAACTGTTTTAGAAATGTGGGCCTTATAGTCAGAAATATCATATTTAAGCCCCTGGTCTATAATTTATTGAGCTTTGAGAACTTGGAGCACCACTTTACCTTTCTGAGTCTCAATTTTCCCATTCTGTACACTGAGGACAACCTTACATAAATTTTAGGTTTTGTGTAGGATTAAATGAGATGATGTATGTACAATACCTATAGTGTCTGACTTTCTGGAGGCAACTGAGTAAAATCAATCTCTCTCTCTCTCCCTGTATATATTTACTCTAGAATATGAGCTCTATGCAGTAAGGGATCTTTCTTTCTTTTGTATAATGACATTTTCTTGTCACATAGAACAACAGCTGGTCCATAGGAGTCACCCCCAAAATACTCATTGAATGAATTAATTATTAAAAAGGGCAGCATTCTTTACATAAATCATTCCACTAGACAGGACAGGAAGAGGATATTACATTTGCTCCACAATTTCATGTTTTTCTCCCAAAATAATATGTAAACGAT